ATTAAATTCCATTAATCTAGCACTGTCATCTATTTGTTAAAGAAACAACTACTTTAAAACGCAGAACACGCGATTGTAACATTTGAAACAATTTAAATTGCAATTGGACGTTGCAGCGCGGCCCTAACGCTGAGGCATAGATTGAGATGAATACGTTCACACACAGAACGCTCGTAACGACATAAATTTTAAAGTAAATTCTATATATACAGAAGATTATGATACGAAAAATACGGTATTAAATACAGAAATTCAACAGACCTCTAAAATATCTTTTTTTTTATAAATTCAATTCATATATATACAATAATCCACCTTTTAAATTTTATCTCGAGCGCCATTCATGATGGTCTTGAGCCCTCCAAATTTTACATGATAATTTTTTAGTTTATCCACCTAACGAGAAATATCCAAACAACCTCAGTTTTAACTCCTAAAACACAGCAATGTCTACGCTTTCGAAATAAAATGATGCAATATTGCATCATCCAATTATTCTAAAAAATTATAGTGATCAAAATCATTCTGTTCCTTAAGTTTTGGAAATCATGTCATTGTAAAAGTTTTTCGGTTGAGGAAACTATAAAAGCTAAGATCTCCGGAACGAATAAAGAACGCCTTTGTCCTTTGTATTGCTTTTACGTATTTGTGTTGTTCGTGATGGTCTTTATATGTGTGTGATCATCAATAAAATGTGGATTTAAAATGCTATAAAGTTTCCTTATTAATCCTTCAACGACAGGAACAAGATAGTTATTCCAGTAAAATGTTCAATAATTCCCGTGAAATCGTAACATATATGTGCGAGTCTGTGTTTTCATAATGCGAAATGTAAGTAAGGAGTAATGCCAATATATAGGTAGAATTCAGCAATAGAAATTTATTCGGATTTAAAGTATAAAACTCACGAAAAAAATATGATACACTATCCAATCTTGCAATTTGATGTTTTATAGCCGTAGATAAAATAAGTTTTATATTCTAAAAAAAATCCAATTTTTATAATATAAATAACTTATTTTATAAGCAATGCTTTTATTTTTATTTTATGAGATCAGACATTTCGAAATCTATCGTATCAAATTTCAACTTTTAGAGATAAGTGAAATACTTTCAAACATTGCTACTTTTTAAAGTAGAAATCCAATCCCCCCCCCTACGAATATAGAGAGTTTCTAAAAAAATCTTTAAATAAAAGACTGGAAGAAAAACGAGAAGTTTTCTTAAATAAAAATTTAACTAGTGTCCGAAGTTTTTTCTTTCTGCTGTAATCTAGATTATTTCTGGTATTGATCTGGTGCCAGATCAGGTGTCGTCCGCGTCACTTGACCATGGTTCAAAATTACTCGGTCAGTCGCCAAAAGCCCTCGTGTAGCTGAACAGTGCGACATTAATATTCATTCACTCACTCACACACACAAATATTCGTATTACTTCTAAGTATGGTGTTAGTAAGCCTTTAATGAACCAAACCCACTTGTGTGTGGCGAAATATGCACAGAAAGAGAGTTAAGGATTATTGCATATATAAACACATTGAATAATATTGCTAAAATTATACATTGAATAGAAAGTTGAATAAGCTGTTTCTACTTAAAAATCTCATCCTTAAGTCATGAGACAGTTAGAAGATACTCACCTCAACGAAAACGACGATTTATCGTGATTTTACGATGATACACGTATCAAGAGCATACTTCAAAGTAAATGAACTTCTCGACGCATGAATAATGCACAGAGAAATGCTCCCTACTCTCGCATCTCGTCCAATTTTCGGAAACCGTCAGAGCCTAAACAATAACCCTGACACTCTCCAAAAACGAAGAAGAGAGAAAATTTCAGACGATGTGCATCCGATCTTGTCAGCTCCAATAATCTACGCCCCTCTGATTGCGCTCGCCGGGACAGCCCCAACTATCCAGAAAATCAGCCAGCGATAAACGGATCATGGGACATCGCCCCAAATGCCAGGAATTTAAACATTTCGGAAAACTTTTAAAAGCACGTCCCCGACTTTGTACTAATCTGTTCTGGAGACACTTAGTCAGGGTGTTGGAGAAGGAAGTGAGACATTTCCCGTCTGAGACGTTGATTTAGAAACAAAAATATTTAGGTAATGGATTTCAGATAGCTGTTTACATGTCGGCTTATGCTTAGTGTCAAAAACATGTGAAGAAATCTTAAAAGCTTTGGGGTGGAAACTTGTGGTGATGTAAGTATGATCCAAATTTATACGGAAGCCTAAAAAGTCGTAAATAATGTTTACTGAAGGGCTTCATCAATTTATGTCGCAATATTGTAGCTGAGTATTGTAGAGCAGACGCGATTTTCGTGATTTTTAGACATTGATTTTCTATTTTCGTCGCTTGATTTACTGATGTATTTTATTTTATCACCATATACAGTATAATGTGTCACGCATTCAAGTCAATTTCTTAAAATTTCTTAGTATGGCAGCATTTGAACCAAAATAAAAATTCTAAGTTTAAACACAAGAGAATAGGAAGATATAAAAATCTATTTTGACTCTGAAGTGAGTTAAAACTTTGTGAGTTTATCCTCCCATTTAATCCTCCATATTTTTTTAATCGATATATTTTCTTAATTTTAAGTCTTCAATTTCAACAATTTCTTTAAAAAAAGAAAGAAAGAAATAATTTGACTCATTCCATATGAATTAATGTCTCGCACCACACCACATATAGCAATTGAAAAGAACGAATTATAAAATATTCACAATTTTAATCTTTACAAGTCAATTACCAGATACTGAGCGAGTGAAAAATGTTTGCATTTACATTTATTCAAGAAATCACCCCTCTGTTGGCACGTGCGACATATGGCTCGGATGACCCTTGAGAATTTCAGTCATTTCCTTTCGCCACGATTACGACGTCCGACACAATTACGCCCCTAGATAAGGGCGCCGGACAACATAAGCCCCATCCTTGATCTATTATGAAGGGTTATAATGTTTCCTCAGAAATTCAGGAGTAAATGATTATTCTCGCAACAAACTCACAATCTTCCCTATGATGAATACGCACCGGAATTAATGCTTAATGTGAAATTAATTTCCGTAATTCCCCGACACAACGGCCCTAAACTCCTGCTGTCAGCCATCCATCTTGGGGCCAGTCAGCTCTGGGAATCTTCTCATAAATCACCTCCACCTAGCTTCAGACATAAAATGTGTGCAGAGTTTTAGCACCGCGTGGATGGCAACAGCCAGCCGAAAGAGCCAGGTGCGAGCGGTAGGATTTAACCCTCGAGGACAAGTGATTAGCGATTCCGATGCAGAAGTTGTGTAATCGTCGATTAAATAGAGGAAAACTTTCCGATTTCCCAGAAGAGGGGTGGATCAGAATGTTTAATGACGAGTTAACAATGTCGGACAACTTATTTGAGCCGACTCAACACATTCGCCAGCAAAGGGGATAAAAAAAGAATCGTGATCAAACAGATCGTTTCCTACTATTCAAGAATCGGTGCCTCCCCTCCCTGTGCACATTTGTTGTTCTGTCTTCGAAGCGGGTTCGTTAGAAACAGACATCAAACCCTGGCGAAGGGTCGCGCCAAAGAAAGAATGAAATAATTTACATTCTAGAATTCCAGGAAGGGAGATTGGGTCTTTTATATGCTGAGGAGATCTCTATTAAATGGTCAGAGATGATGGATGGATTGAAAATAGTCTGTTAGGTCCCTAATTGAGTTCATTGATAAGAGATTGAGTTTGCACCTGGCGGAATTGAACACTCGTTTTGCGCGCGACAGAAAAACACGCTCGTTTGTTATCTTCTTATTACACAGGATTATAATATCATCCGAGGCAAAAGTTCAGGTTCAGTCTGATTCATCCGCAACAAAAAATATCAACCTACGAGATTCAAGATGGAAGCTTAGAATTCTCAGTAAAAGATTACGAAAGGGGAAAAAATCGATAAAAAATAACACTGATTTCGAATTTTGAAGATAATTGTTATGTTTAATGTCTAAGCATAAGCGAATTATGCGAACAAATAAAATTATGCAGGAGTATATAATGAAAGTACAATCAGATCTCTCTCTCTATTTAACGAAGTCCCTAAATGCCGAAAAAAAGTTCATTATGTGGAAAATTCGTATTGTAGAGATTCCTCTTTTAATGAACTTTAGAAATCCCATAAAATAAATTTTAAATTCATAAACTTTATATGTTATTTTAAAAACAGGGATTATATTTACATATTTAAAAAAACTAATATCTATTTATTTTATAAATTTTAACCATAAAAAAAAAAAAAAAAAAACATTGTCTAGGAATGCACAGTATTTTGAACTTTAAAAAATAATTTTATATATTAAATTAATTAACTTTAATGAGATTTTCTAATTTTAAGCCCACAAGTAATTTAAACATACATTATTTCATAGCCAATACGTTTAAGTTTACATTATGACACATACGTCCTTAAATTTAATTATTGATAAAATTTGTTACATTATTTGAGATTTTTGTTTGGAAAAATACTGCAATTTTTTATTGTTCTTAGTGCGTTACGCACCTGGTAAAACCAGTTCAAAGCAATTGATCCCCATAAAATGTGCTAAAAAAGAAAATAATTTAAAATATTCGGAAATATTTTTATAATAGGGAGGGAAAAAAATCGAATCAAGAGAAAAAAGTTCGTTAAATAGAAAATACACTTCTCTATTCGGGGATTATTTTACGAAGAAAATAATAAAATGTTCTTGGTTCCAGGAAAAAATTCGCAAAATAGAAAAGGTCGCTAAATAGAGGTTCGTAAAATGGAGGTCCAACTGTATATTAAAATTAAAAAAGTTTTGTAAATATGTTATTTTCTATAATAAATATATTGCTTCTCTCTTTGTAAACGAAAATATTAATAAAATATATTTAATAGCTAATTAGCTATATTTAGTGTCTCTAATAGCTTGATTTGGACTTAATAGCGTGGAAAAAAATTCCAGCAACTTTGATTATTTCCTTGTAATCAAGTCGTGATGTTCCCAGGTGGTTATCCTCCCAAGTACTGACCGCGCACCGATGTTTAGCTTCGGTGATCGAACGAGAACCGGTGTTTTCCACATCCACGCAAAAGGTCTAGGCAAAATCTTTTATGACAGAGAATTGTACTTAAGATATAGTCTCTCTTTAAAAGCATAACTAAATTATCAAGTTTTAAATCTCAATGCCTGTTTCTTTTCCTCGTATTTTTGTCCTCCAGCGGACAGATTGAGATTTATCGAAACATGCAATTAATTGACTTATTCATAAATAGGGTAAAATAAATATATTAATTATATTGTTTGTTTTATGAAACAGATCAGAATTAAATATTTGCAGATAATTACACTCAAAATCATTTCTATTTCTTATAAATTTGAGTATTTGAAATGCATGCATGCCGTTAAACAACTCTTTCCAGTAAATATATAAAAAATTTTAAAGACAAAGGCTATAAAAGGGTTCAGAAACAAATTAAATGTGACAAGATGTCTGAACCCCTTTAACCCGTTGGCGTGGTAGTTTGAAGAGGGGGTGCCAGCTCAGGTGTCGTTCTCATCACGTGACCAAGGATCAAAACTACGAAGTCCTGCGTCAATAGCCCTCGTGTTGCTTTATATAGCGCGGTTTTAATGCAATTCTTACTCACTCTCATTGTTCTCTCTTGAGCGTTTTGAATAAATAAGGTTCAAACCCCATTCATATTGCTACGAAAAAGCTTTAAAGGTATAAATTTAAAAAAAATGGAGAAGTTACGTGACTAATTATTTGCTGTAACAAAATATAATTTTCCTTTTTGTCTAAAAAGTGCCTTTTTAGTTCTAGTATTTTGGTAATTAAAATAACTAATATTTCCTTTTCAATCTCAATGCTAGAGCTATAGAATGGGAGTATTAATCAAAAATAATAGCAAGGGGAGGAGAAAAGTACTAAAATAACGTAACCCCACTTAGATTTTCGTTATTTTAAACACTAAATAACACTCTTAATATGGTATACTTCAGTGATTCTTAAACTTTCAATCACTCTGGCCCCTCTTTATGCATCAGCATGAGATCACGGACCCCCATGATTTTGGACACCCTTCCCTGACTCCGAGCACATGGTTCAGTTATTTAAAGGGGTTCACCCGTAATATGGATTCAAAAAATCAAAAAAATAATCTTTTTTCCATAAATTGCTTTCTTAATATGTCTAAAATACGGTGGTAAGGTGATTTTTTAAGTTTCGAATTCGTTATAAAGAAGCAAGTGTTAGAAGAGCAGCTGTTCGAAGCTCTGAGTTGGCAATCGAAGGATGGGCCTATTGTGAACAGTCGGCTTGATACCATCGATCCTTCTATGCAAATATACGTTCATACAGGTTTGTAGAGGTTTAGAAGGAAATATCTATAGTTATTGAAAATTTAGTCGAACTTGTTTCAGTGTTCGCCACAAGGCATCGCCGATTGAGTGTAAGGTAAGATTTTTATTGTTTGAATCGGACCTGAAACTTCAAACGCGTTTTTCTCAAAACTGTGTTTTTTAATCTTTCCTCCATCATATCTCAAGAACGGTTTGAGCGAATGATTTCAAATTTATAGGGTACACTCAGCACATATATATGCACCAAATGGACTACGATCACTCCAAAGGTCAAAATATTTCTATTTTTTAATAACAAAAACATAAAAAAAAAACATGAAATTCTAAACTTTTTCTTCAGATGTCTACCAAAAATCTAATTTTTGATGTTTTCAATTGAGTATAGTCCCTTCTGTGCACTTAAGCTTATAGATTAAAAAGCCGTCAATTTTTTTATTTTATTTCAAATAATCCAATCAGCTGGAATCGTGGAGGAAGTGAGCGTCAAATTCTTCGAGGCGGGTGTGTTCAGAGCGCTATAACTCACGTTCTACTGGATATTTTTGGCTAAACATTTATATACATACTCTTAAAATACATATAAATAAATGATAAAAAACTTAAAGTCCTATCTTTCTACTGGTCGTCAAAAATGATTCTCTAAAAAGACTGGCCGTCACATGAGTGAGCCCCCTTAAAGGTTCCTCAATAATCCCAAGATTGCCTCTGTTACTTATACAGACTTTTTAAACACTCATTTTTTTCCCTTTAAAAAAACAGTAAATATTCAATTAAACCATTGCAAATTTCTAAATCAATACTTACTGATTCAACATTCTTGATTGAATTACATGTTCTATTAGTTTTTGATCGGGGGAAATTTAATGATTTAGTCTAGGATGGCACATCTTTCAACTTGTTCTCAAGGTATGTAAAAAGTCTGCTAAGAAGGAAATCTTTATATTAAATGAGATACCTTCGCGGAACCCTAGAAAGGCTTTGGGTACCCCCGGGGATTTGTGGACTACCGTTTAAGAACCACTTGCATACTTTATTTACCAATTATTCTTTGAAATAGATTATATTTCTGCAACTTTGTGAATAATTATCTCTGTCTTAATTTTTAAATATGCACCAGAAACAAAATTAAAAGAGAGCCTATATAAAATACTACTTCAGTATATGCTTTTGACATTAGCCGCTGAGAGTTCTACAACCATTTGACAATTTTCTTGAATCCATTCATTAGTCAAAAACACTGTCTTCAATGTCTTTCTTCTAACATTTCCAAATTTATCTTACACACAAGCCATTCCAGAATATAAAATACACCTTTTTTTTAAAAAAAAAAAGGGCAATTGTATAACGGCTGAGGACAAGACGAAGCGAATCTCATTCGCCGGCGAATCGGAGCAAACACTTGAACCCACGCGCTCACCTGCTCTTGTAAAAGAAAAAAAAAGAATGAAGAGAAGAAATCACTTGAAAGCAAATAAAATGCACATAAAAGAGGGGAGAAAAAATATATTTACAATTCTGTGGAGAGCCCCACCTTGCAACGATGAATCCACATCACGATTTCATTTCGACCACAATGGAAGAAAATGGCAGGTTACTTTTCTTCAGCTGGTCAAGGTCACAAGCACAATGGAAGTTTTCAACTCGATTTCATTTGTATTCCTCTAGATTGGTGGGTCTTTATTTTTTCGTTAGAAATTTATTTCTCTACTCTTCATATCGGCCGATGCTTGTAGCAGTTCTATTTTTTTCTGCCCTTTCTCCGAAAACAACGACTGTATTTGCTACACGGTTACTTTATTTGTTACGAGATATAACAAAAAAAATTACTTTCATGTTATTGAATTCACTAGTCTCTTCTTTAAGCCAGAAACGGTTGAATGGAGTTGGAGCTTTGACAAGTAGAAATAAAACCTAGGCTGGTTGAATAATTGCGTAGTTAACATGGGGATGTCTTTCTTCGGCGGAAAATGGGTTTTTTATGCTGCTTTAGTTTATATATTTTCTCGAAGAAATAGAGAATGAATAAAATCTCCATTTTTTATGTTTCATCCATACAGCGAAAACTGCCGGGGTATACTTCGCTTTTGGTTAAAAATGGACACATTGCACCTTTACATTACAACATTACTCGTTTGTGGATTTTTAAGAGGTTTACAATTTTTTTAAGCTAACTATTCTTATGCATAGAGAAAATATTGTTAAGGACTTTCTGTAGAAACCTCCAAAATGATTTGTCATTAAAAGAAATTACTTTAAACAAATAATGAACTTTCAATATCCTATTAAAAAGCATTAAATGTTCTTCCTCGTGCAAAATCTTTCCTTGCATAATGCATGATATAAATACCGCTTTCAATATCTACTTCCTTTTCCTGTATATCTGTCCTCGCTTAATTCATTTAAAAAAATCATACGTGATAAAATGGCTGCAGACAGACGTGAAGAATCTTATCAGCCATTACAAACAGTGAAACGACGTTGACATTGTATGTTAAAAGAAAAGTTCAGAAAGGAAAAAATTCAGCACGGGACACTCAGTTATGACCATTTTATTACAGCTACTTTTTTTTAAAGCATTAATGTTTATTGTTGTGGAAGTATATATCGTCTTTTAGAGCCTCGTTTTATGCTACATCTAATAATTCATCGAGCTCTTAAGGTATCCGACTACCCTAAGACTGTGAATTTTGCCAAAAATTGACAAACTCTTTTATGATTTTATTTTATTAGCTTTATAAAAATACCAAGTTTATCATTTTCCGTTTACTAGAACAAAAACTACAAGTGTTTTAGTAAAAGCAGATGCCATTACTTAAGGCAAGATGTCATACTCTCTTTGAAACGCGTTTTACTCGAAATGTGATTTTCTGAAAATAATCAAACGGGGTCAGCGATTGCTAAAAAAGTTTTGAACATAATTAACTGAAATTTTTTCTGTAAGTTTAGTATAATAGTAGAATTGCTTTAACCTTCAGATTTGTCTACAAAATTTACAGTCCCTTATGTGAATATAGTCACTGTCTTTTTAAGCATTTTCATATAGTAACCGAGATAAAGTGCTCTAGTTTTTGCAAAAAAGAAAATATCTCTTATCCTGAAGGTCATTTCAAAATTGAATAATATAGCAACACATTAGATTAAAAAACTTGAAAATTTGTTCATAAACCTTTGGTGCAGAATGGGACGTGTTTATGCTACTTTTTGCTAATTTTTACCTGTTTTTTCCCATTTTAATAATAATAATTTCTTTTTCTATTCTTAATTTTAGCACATTTTTCTTAAAATGCACTAAACAAATCTAAAAATTAAAAAAAATCCCCATATCTCCTTTTTTTTAAAAAAAAAAAAAGTTGTCGCAACCAGTCGGATACCTTAAGAATTTTTGCAAGTTTCTTCTTTAAAGGATCACCGCGAAATCAATTAAAAAAAGTAATGTAAATTAATAAAATTTTGTAGATTTCAAACAGTAAAACACTATATTTTTCAGCTTTAACAAAGCCTCCAAAAAGTATATTGAAGTGAAGTAACACAATTAATTAAACATTTAAAATCGTTTGCTTGATATCAAAATTCCATATACAATAATCAATATGTGTGAAATAATAGATTGAAGAGGCCAAATAAGATTCCATTCTAAAAGTCCTCCTGGTATTATATACCAACTTCATCCCGGCTTCTTTTCACTGGTACTCTATATTTTAATAAATAATGCAGTT